CGAAGCCATAAATTTAGCCATCTCGGAAGAACGCATCCAACAAAACCTTTATAAACGACCACAGCTAGAAACAAAGTGTGAACAAAAACCTAAGTAAAATTTCGTTACATCTTTCAATTCCAAACCAACCATTCCTCAAAAATACTCACAGTATCCTAGTATGAACCAATAGAGCCCGCCTAACGCTTTCTGTCGATATTGTAAGACGGCGGGGCATGACTTTATGGCCTGTAAAAAACGGGAATATTCTAATAAGTTTAGGTACCAAAACAATCCGTCAACCTCCCAATTCCAGCATAGGGCACAACCAAGGGTTAATTTTATAGAGCAGCCCAATTGTGAGGTCGACCAAGTAGAATTCCATGCTCTACATAATGATGACAAACCTTTAAACGATCAAGAGTCTCGTCACGGTGTCACTCGAGACTAAACCCAAAAGCCGGCACCAACCATTCCTTCCTCATATCCAACGACCACACGGGTAACCAGCCCCAAGCAAGAGTCCATCAATCCAAGGACCACACGGGTCACCAGCCCCAAGCAAGAGTCCATCAATCCAAGAACCACACGGGTAACAAGCCCCAAGCAAGAGTCCATCAATACAAGGACCACACGGGTAACAAGCCCCAAGCAAGAGTCCATCAATACAAGTTCCACACGGGTAACAAGCCCCAAGCAAGAGTCCATCAATACAAGTTCCACACGGGTAACAAGCCCCAAGCAAGAGTCCATCAATACAAGGACCACACGGGTAACTAGCCCCAAGCAAGAGTCCATCAACCCAAGGACCACACGGGTAACCAGCCCCAAGCAAGAGTCCATCAATACAAGGACCACACGGGTAAAAAGCCCCAAGCAAGAGTCCATCAATACAAGGACCACACGGGTAACAAGTCCCAAGCAAGAGTCCATCAATACAAGGACCACACGGGTAACTAGCCCCAAGCAAGAGTCCATCAACCCAAGGACCACACGGGTAACCAGCCCCAAGCAAGAGTCCATCAATACAAGGACCACACGGGTAACAAGCCCCAAGCAAGAGTCCATCAATACAAGGACCACACGGGTAACTAGCCCCAAGCAAGAGTCCATCAACCCAAGGACCACACGGGTAACCAGCCCCAAGCAAAAGTCCATCAATACAAGGACCACACGGGTAACCAGCCCCAAGCAAGAGTCCATCAATACAAGGACCACACGGGTAACCAGCCCCAAGCAAGAGTCCATCAATACAAGGACCACACGGGTAACTAGCCCCAAGCAAGAGTCCATCAACCCAAGGACCACACGGGTAACCAGCCCCAAGCAAGAGTCCATCAATACAAGGACCACACGGGTAACAAGCCCCAAGCAAGAGTCCATCAATACAAGGACCACACGGGTAACAAGCCCCAAGCAAGAGTCCATCAATACAAGGACCACACGGGTAACTAGCCCCAAGCAAGAGTCCATCAACCCAAGGACCACACGGGTAACCAGCCCCAAGCAAGAGTCCATCAATACAAGGACCACAAGGGTAACAAGCCCCAAGCAAGAGTCCATCAATACAAGTTCCACACGGGTAACAAGCCCCAAGCAAGAGTCCATCAATACAAGGACCACACGGGTAACAAGCCCCAAGCAAGAGTCCATCAATACAATTTCCACACGGGTAACAAGCCCCAAGCAAGAGTCCATCAATACAAGGACCACACGGGTAACTAGCCCCAAGCAAGTGTCCAATATCCCAAGGACCACACGGGTAACCAGCTCCAAGCAAGCGTCCATCAATCCAAGGACCACATGGGTAACCAGCCCCAAGCAAGTGTCCAATATCCCAAGGACCACAAGGGTAACCAGCCCCAAGCAAGTGTCCAGCTATCCAAGACCCATAACTCAAAAGCTCCTTCTTCAACAAGCGGAATCGAAATCTATGAAATAAATTTAGACACAACTAAAAGATTGTTACCACATGTTCTGCTCGATTTATCCGTCACGGATATCCCACTGTTTTTGCTTATTGATTCAGGGTCTGCCATATGTTTGCTAAAACAATCGAGTATCCAGAGGAACCTTAAACTAATAAAAGAACCTATTAAAGTTAAGGGCATAGACCCGGGCAATGAACCGACAACCACCGAGGGCCATTTTCCGTTAAAATTAAAATTAAATAAAACTATATCCACGTCATATAAATTCCACGTCGTAAAAAATATCAACTTACCATATGACGGTATCATAGGCTCTGAATATCCGCGTCATATAAATTCCACGTCGTAAAAAATATCAACTTACCATATGACGGTATCATAGGCTCTGATTTTCTTACCGCGTTTGGCTGTAAAATTGACTACACAAACGACACCCTGAAAATCGGTAAATTGGAAATAAAATTGCATTTCGTTGATCCATTTTATATAATTCCACCACGCACCGAAACTGTCATTGAATGTTCGGTTTGCGATACCAATCTTAAAGAAGGCCTTATCACGGACCAACACATATCAGAAAACTTGCTTATATCCAATTGTATCGTAAAAGTCAAAGAAAACAAACACGTTAATTTAACTATAGCCAGAACTTCAGAGTTTCCTGTCAACCTTAATCCAAATGTAAACCTTAAAGTTACACCTTTACACTCTGACGCAGTCCAAGTGAACACAAATTACTCTAACACAATTAATAGAACAAATGATGTAATAAACTCATTAAGAATAGAGCATTTGAACCAAGAAGAGTCCAACGCCCTCATTGAACTTTGTTCCCAATATTCCGACATTTTTCATCTGCCCGATGATAAATTAACCTATACATCCGCCCTAAGCCATCAAATAAAAACGAACAGCGAGACGCCCATCCATACTAAAACATATAGGTTCCCAGAATGTCATAAAAAGGAAGTTGAGACCCAAATCAACAAGATGGTCGACCAGGGAATTATAGAACCCTCATCCTCACCTTGGAGTTCACCAATTTGGATCGTACATAAGAAACTAGATTATATTTCTTTATGATTATATTTATTTATATTTTATATTCATAGATTATATTTATTTATAGATTATATTATATAGACTATCGCGCATTTAATGAGAATGCGCGTGACGCATCGGTCTGTGACGTTCATAGGCCGAGTCGATTATCTTAGTTTTAAAAATATTTAACATCGGTGTTTTATAGTCAGTTCCATCTCTAAGTTAATTTTGCCGTATAATTAATGTGTGGAAGTGTTTTCCAGTGAATATGTACTAAAATTAAAAAGAAACTAACAAATGATCCTAGGTGGACTGTAAACTGCTGCTGCTGACATACCCTCCGAGTTAAAAATAAAATATTATGTACGTACAAACAATTAGAAAAAAAGTATTAATTATTGCCGAGAGCTCTAATTGGATCAATTCAGTGTATTTTGTTCGCCACAAAACAATACATGTAAAATCGTGGATAAAATTATCAACGGATCTAAGCACAACGCCATCTTTACACGAACAGTGATATTAATACCTTTGCACTTACAATTAATAAGAAAATGCCTAAGTGCGGGTACTGTGGTAAATTTTTATCCAACGCGGACTGTGTGAGGTGCTCTAAATGCGCAAATAATTTTCATCGTACTTGCTGTTCTGTACCGACGGGGCCAACACCTCAAGGATGGGCGTGCCAAGGCTGCAAAGTCAAAACCAAAACAGACCCGACGTCATCCTCGAGGGCATCAAAAACGTTATGTGGTGATATGTCGTCAGAAAAGTCAACCCCTCAATCAGATCTAAGTGAGAATACACCCACAACGAACAACCACATGCTACGGGAGTTAATGCAGGAGATAAGAGATCTGCGCAGTGAGCTGAGCAAAACAAGACCTGAGATTGCGGACTGCAGGAGGGAGATTCTAGACTTCAAAGCAGAGCTACATTCATGCAGCGCACGTTTAACTGCCTTGGAAGACAAAGTGTCTACACTGGAGACGAGCTGCGAAGTAAAATCTCCCGGCAATGTGGAGAAGCTCGAAAACACGATTACCGAATTGAAGCGACAATTGAACGAGCGTGAACAAGTATCTCTGCATAACGATCTGGAAATCTCCGGCCTACCTGAAGAAAAAAATGAAAACATCTTGCATGTAACCGGGCTTATAGCTGTAAAGCTAGGCATGAAGTTGGAGGACCGGGACGTTGTATTCGCGGAGCGGGTGGGCTTCTCGCGGTGCAACCGTGCCGCTGAGGACGCGACCGCGTCGCCACGCCCACGCGCCATCGTCGTTAGGCTGGCGCGCCGAGCCCTGCGCGACGACTTGCTGCGTGCTGCGCGTGTGCGCCGCGGCCTCACCTCGGCCGACATCAGCATGCCGGGGGAGCAGCGCCGGTTCTTCGTCAACGAGCGCCTCACGCGGCTGAACCGAAACCTGTTTGGCATGGCGCGGGAAGCGGCATCACGCGCCCAGTGGAAATATGTTTGGACGAGAAATGGTAACATTTTTGCTAGAAAGGATGACGGTAAGGTAGCCGAGCGAATTAAAAATGAAAATGACACAAAGAAAATTTTTATATCTTGATTTGTTGGTCTATGTATTTTTTGCAATTTTTTTCTATTATCTTGTATGAAGTTGATTGTATTCAGTATGTCATTCAGTTGAATATTGCTTTATTCAATATGCCACAACAATGTTACTTTTTCACAAGAAAAAATTATTTGCTCCATACTTGTATCTTTTTTATATTTGTAATCGCAGGAAATTCTCTTTGTAGCACGTCTTTGCCGTTTAGAATATTTTTTTACTTTATAATTATTTTAATCGAATATGTTTTGTGTTGCGTTCTGTGCCGTCTTTAAGGCAGGGCCCGCAGGGCTCCCGGCCCGAGGCCCCGAGGCAGGCAGGGGCCCCACAATTCTGAAAATTTTCGATATACAACAACAAATTTTATAACATAATAAGAAAAATATCAAATCACACACTTGGTAAAATAGAAACAAGATTTAGAAAATTTGTTTAAAAATTTATTTTTGCACTAAAATAACAGTAATTATATACAGCTTAAAAAACTTTTTTTTCTCGATTTCTTCGCAGCAAAATTAGATATGAGTTCATCAAAATCAATCGATTTTAATAAGTCCGAGTCTATACTCATTAAACTTAGATGATTCAATCGTGACTGTGACATTGTGCTTCGATGATCGGATTTTATCAACTTTAATCTAGAAAATGATCGTTCACCAGCACAATTGATGATCATTAGGGTAAGGAATATTCGGAGACTTATTTCAATATTTGGGAATGTAGACGTCAGAAATTCTTTCTTCAGTTGCAAGTATAGATCAGGAATAAATAATTCTTCGTTCTTTCGTGTATCACGAAGATAATGTTTATAATGTAAACATTCTGATATTAAATTTTCTGCAGAAATGTCTTGATCATATTTTCTGGCAAGCTTTTCGCAGCATTCTTTTATTCCTTCGTATGTCATGTTTGGTAGAGCAGTAAAAAACTTGAAGTTATCATTCACCGTTTCGTAAGCAGTTTTTCTGGTTTTCAAATTGGAACAAAGTGAATCGATTATCGGATAAAAAATCTCTATTTTGAGCTTTTCATCTCCAGTAAATTGTGTATGTTCACTCTCTCCTTCAAAGCGAGTAAGTTTTACGCTTCTTCTTCGATTTCTTGGCTCAGATGTAGATTCACTTTCGCAGATATCAGTAAAGCTTTTTGCTTTTTCTAAAAACTCATCGAATTTATCCCTGATATCCAATAAATACAATTCTAAGGAATTTAAAAGACTGCATGCTATATACAAATCCATATTTTCTTTTTGTAAATTTTTAGATGTATCATTAATACGTGTCAAGATTTCGTGCCATACCACAGTTATAAAGACATTTTCAAATTTTGTAATTTGCTTTAAAATGGTCTTAGCTTCAAGTCTAGTCTCGTTAGACTGCGTATCATCCTTTGATAAATCATCTAGAGCTTTCGTAATATCTGTATGACCTGTGAAAAGAGCGATGATTGCATCAGCTCGGGCTGACCATCGAGTAGCGGATAAAGATTTAACGACTTTTTTTTTCGTTCCTAAATATGACAATAGTTTTTGCCATCTATAAGTCGATCCTGATAAAAATGTGTACAAATTTTGTACGATATAGAAATACTTAACGACTGCATTAACACATTCAGCTGCCTTAACGCCGACTAAATTTAACGAGTGCCCGGCACAAGGAATATAATCAGCATACTTATTGATTTCCCTTATCCTGGTTTGCAGTCCTGAATAGCGTCCAGACATATTCGATGCGTTGTCATAAGATTGACCTCTACAGTCATTTATATCAATATCATTATCTTTAAAAAATTTGACTACAACCTCTGTTAAATATTCGGCATTATGACCTTCTATAGGAACGAACATTAAAAAACGTTCGATAGGCCCCTGATCGGTAACGTAGCGCACGGTGAACGTTAATTGATCTAGATGAGTGATGTCCGGCGTAGAATCCACAGAAAAAGAATAATATTTTGCCTTCTTCAACTCACTTATAATGCAAGCAAGAACTTTTTCCCCCCATAAGGCCTATAAATTCCTCACAAATATTAGCTGATAAGTATGATGTTACTCCATGTCCTTTATTTCCGTAGGTATTAATGTGCTCTTTAAGGAAAGGGTCATATTCGCTCAGTAATTCTAAAATACCTAAGTAATTGCCATTTTGACTAGATCCGAATCGTTCGTTCTCCCCTCGAAAAGCGAGACCTCGTGAAGCAAGAAACTTTATAGTGTCAGTTATTCGACGTAATACTTGAATCCAATAATTTTTCTCATTTTTTTGTTGAATCGTTAATGCATTTTCTAAACTACCAGTTTCTCTTCTCCGTTTAGAATAAATAGTTAAAGTTTGTTTATGAGCTTTGCTTTGCTCATGCTCCGTAATTCGCTCTGGGTGTTTCCAATCATTAAATCCGTAAAATGTAAATTGATCTTTTTCAGATGAAAAAAGTCGACATACAAAGCAATATATACGTCCAGTTGATGGCGAATACGATAACCACTCACGCTCTACTATTTCATTATTTTGTAGTTTCAATTGAAATAATGATTTGTTTAGAGTTCTCACTTTTTGTTTATCTCCTTCTTGGTAAATCCGTGCAGATTTTGAGAAATCTTTATCCTTATTGCTGCATAAACCTGGATTTTTTTGCAACCAGTATAATCGTAACTTCTCGTTGATTTCGCCCCATAACGCAATATCAGTCGAATAACTTTCAATTTTTTCTGACGTGCTTCTCAATGCTGCCTCCTCTATTAAAATAAAATATATTTTTGTAAATCGCTTTTAATTGAAAAAAATATTTAAAATTATTCAGCTTTTTTAGAATCTAAATATTTACAATTTGAAACTCTTTATTTACCTTCTGTTCTATGATTTATAAGAACTTGTGTAGCTACTGATAATTCCGACTGTTCTGAAGGATTCAAATCGACTGATTCGTTTTGAATAACATTTTCCTGTAAATCAGCGGTACCTTTTGGCGTTTCATCATTTTTGCCTAATAAATAAAATGCAATGATCTTATTATCATACTGTTAGCACGGTTTGTTTCATAAATTAATTTCATAAAAATGATATTAAATCGACTTTTCATAAAAAAAACTTTTGCTACATGCGAACAACAATGAGGTTATAGGACTCAATTAATGAACTAATCACTCTTAATTCAAATAATATATAGTATTACTTACTAGTAATGTCATGTTGTTTTAAAAATCCAGTAATTTTTGGTAACTTGTCTATTTTCTTTTGTTCTTCTTTCGCTTTTCGTTTTTTTGCAGCACCACTTTCATAAACACGATTCATGATTTTGATGTACTTCAAATGATTCGATAAACAATACTAAATTAACTGTTGCTACATCGCGTGAAAATCTGGTAATGAACTAATGAACCTGCTGGCTGTTTCACGTGTCGAAACACGGACGTTGACTATTCATTTTCTCACCAAAAACAAAAGCAAGCTTAAACAAGTTTCTTTCAAAACAATCGCGCTTCTGCTTGCGCGCAAGAGCGCGCATGCGTAAGAATCCGAATGAAGATTTTGGCGCGTTAGTTTGAATATTGTAATTGAGAAAACGTTTACATGGCATTATAAACATTACATTTAATCGTTTGTTTAAAGAAATTAAAATATACGAAAATTGTAAATTGTAAGAAATTAAATGTATGCATGGCTAAAATTACGGGTATTTAAAACAAAGCAAATAAGTTAATTGTAAAGTAAAAATGAATTAAGAAATAAGTTGAAATGCCAAGTGTTCGTTTGAGAAGCCATTGAGAACTGAGGTCGATCCGGAACGACGAAATATTGTAGTCCGATCTAATACAGCGGGGACAGTTTACGGCACTTCCTCGAAGAAAAACCGATAGCCCTTGTTTATTAAACAAGATTCGGCGCAGCATCGCGCTGTAGTTATAGACTTGGTATGCAGTGGCTCGCTAACCAATGCTGTTATAGGCTATGATGTCACGGATGACGTCACTTTCATATATTTGTATATGAATAAATATAAGTATTGTTCTTTGTATAGATTATAATATATGGTTTTCATTCAATTTTATTTAAATTAGAATTGGTGGGGTATTAGTTTTTTAGATTCAAAAAATTTATTTATTGAACTCTCATATGTGGGGTGTTAAGAGACGGGGTTACGATTTAGCCTATTGCGTTATTGTAAACTGAAAAATGATAAAGTTAAAATTTAAGGATTTTCCATCCCTTACATAGGCCCCAGCCAGTACCTTGGCCCATAGCCTCGTTGATCCTAAAGACGGCACTGGTTGCGTTGCAATGCTGATTGTCCGAGTTTTCACTAAATATTCTCCTTGTAATATATCTTTTCCGTTTATAATCTTTTTTTTCTATATACGTATTCTAATCGACTATGTTTTGTGTTGCGTTGCAATGCTGATTGTCCGGGTTTTTACTTACGATAAAGCTCAATTTATTCACTTTCGCATAATACAATTATTAGTGGCAGTATATATGGGTGGAAGTATATTTAGGCGTTCTTTAATTATTAGGTCTTTTTAGATACAAATTTTAAAGTTGATCATGCGCACACTATCGAAACGTTTTTTATTTACTCTAATAGGCGTTGTTATTCTTATTAATTCTTTTTTTTTTTTGGTTAAATGTAAATATTTCAAATTTTTATTGTAATTGTTTTGGTTTTCTCAACGTCTGCTCGTTAAATACGAATCACGAGGAATTTATCGCAGCGATGGAACGTCACTCGGTGGACATAATGGCGCTGAACGAGACATGGCTGCGTACGGGAGAAGAAGGCTGCACCCCTCGTTTGCCCGGCTACAGTCTGCGCCACACGCCGCGACCGCTGAGCGTGCGCAATGGCCGCGGCGGAGGCGTTGGGTTCTACATAAGGCATGGCGTAAATGTGCACTCTTATCACCATCCGGTGGACCCTTCGCACACGGCTGTGGAACAGATGTGGTTAACTCTTAACACTGGGACAGGAAAACGTGCTATCGGAACAGCATATCGCCCGCCTTGGCTCGACGTTGATTTATTTTTCGATGCAATTACTAATGTAATTATAATAGTTAATACTATAAGGCCCATAGCACACGGCGTATTTAAAACGCGCAGGAGACGCGCGTTTCAGGAACGCGCGTCTTCGGCGCCGTAGACGCTGATTGTTGCGTTTGCATTGATGATACAAGCGCGCGCATGAAACGCGTATACGCGCGTTTGAAGCGATACAAACGCGCGTACAAGGAGCGGAGTAGGGGCAGGGGGGGCGCTCACGCCACCACTGCACCTGCACCGCCCGTGCCTCAGTTGCAATAATAGTTTATTGTGTGCTGCGCGTGTATTTGGTTTAAAATGGAACCCTTCGACACCGACCGCTTCATAATAGAAATAAACAATCGTCCCACTACATGGAATTCACTACTGCCCGAATATTCAAACAAAGTGTTAAAAAGAAATGCTTGGGATGAATTGTGCCAAATTTTTTATAACAATTTCAAAAGAAGTGGTATTTACAACCGATACCTGGGAAGATCTTATCCTGACGAGGTATTTTTGTGGCAGCAAACAAGTTTTGATGCTTTTGTTAAATACACGATGACATTGTTGTCAAAAATTCAGTCGTCTTGTAACTTCGTTATTACACAGACGTGCAAATAAACATGTTTCGACCATGGGAAATATCAAATAGTGCATCTACAAGTGATGAAAATAGTGTTCAGCGTAGAAAAAGACATTTAAGTTCAGACGCTCAAGACATAGTTTTGAGTGTTTACAATAAGCTTTTGAAACGCATGGGTGATAAGGGAGTGATTAAAGAGACATCGGAATTAACAAACGTGCCTATAAGAACTGTTTGTAGAATAGTGTTAGCAGGACATCTTCCTCGTAAACGGACCAAGATAAGTTTTAAAAGAATTGATAATTTTACAGAGGAATATGTGAGGAGGACTATTTACAATTTTTACCTCAACAATGAGATTCCAACGTTACGTGAGATTTATCAATCATTGATGAGAAGTGAAGCTGGTTTTGAATATTCAGAAACTACACTCTGGAGACTATTAAAAAAACTTGGATTCAAGTATGGAAAATTAGATGAAAGAAGAACTGTAATGGAAAGTCCTCGACTTTTATTACTAAGGGAAAAAATTTATTAATGAAATACGTTTACGAAGGTCGGCAGGAAAAAATATAATATATTTAGACGAAACATGGTTTGACACTCACGATACTCTAAAAAAAGGGTACACAGACAATTCACCAAGTTGTACAACTAAAGCTCCATGTTCTAGGGGTAAACGTTTAATAATATTACACGCAGGCGGTGAACAGGGCTGGATACCAGGGGCTTTACTGATCTCTAGCAAACATTTGAAAAGCTCTAGTGCAGACTATCATGAAGATACGAGTATGGATTCTGGATTATTCGAGAAATGGTTCACTGATCAGCTTTTGTCTAATATTCCCAGTAGCAGTGTGATTGTTATGGATAACGCATCATACCACAGCCGACAAATAGAAAAAATTCCCAGCACAAACACTAGGAAAAGTGACATAATAAGTTTTTTAAGAAGTCATAACATTTCTGTGCCAGAGAAATCAACAATGAAAAGTTTGTTGGAAGTAGTCAAAAACAATTATTTTGAAAAAAAAAATATGTGGTCGATGAATTAGCACAAGAGGCTGGTCATGAGATAATGAGACTCCCACCTTATTATTGTATATTGAACCCAATTGAGTTAATGTGGAGTCAAATAAAAAAACTGTCCGTAAGTCAAACGTTACGCCTACAATAGGGGAAAATGTAATCCAAAGTGTACGAAACGTAATAAATTCTACAAATCCCATTTTTTGGAAGAATGTTTGTGACCATGTCATAAGAGTGGAAAACGAATTTTCGAGGGATCGGATACAACCATTTATAATAAATACGTGTGAGGACACAGATACCGATGAATGTTCTTCAGAGTGATCGATTAAACAAAACATTAACAAGTTGTTATAAGTATTTAAAATAGTTAAGTTAAAAGTAATAAAGGTTTTTTATCTACAATTTAATTTGTTTTAATGTTCAAGTACCAAAATTCGTCGTTACAGTTGTTCAGTATTATCAACAGATGCTTAACTTCAAGTGTTAAAGCAATAAAATAATCACACAACAATAGATTAACATTACATCTGTAATTGCTAAGTCTCAAGTGGAATCCTGCCATCCTATTTGAAATGAACTATAATATTAATGCTAAGCACTGAGACTTGCCAATAAATATTTCTTTAATTTATTTTTAAATATGTTTTTTACTGGTTCACGTCGAATGTCCTCAGGCAAACTGTTGAAAAAGTACGGTAGTCGTTTCTTTAAAGTTCTATCCCCGAAGTAGTTATTTACTTTTGGTACAACAAATTTGCCTGCAGACATCGACCGTATACCCTGACCATACTTTACCAGTATTAGAGTACAGTCTCGACAGTTGTATCTCGACAGTTGGAATATTACATTTGATGGATGGTAAAGATGATCTCTTGATCTCTACAAGATGCAGGTGTGTACAAGCTAGATTGTGAATGTGGTCTCTCTTACATAGGTCAAACAAAGAGATCTATAAAAACCCGCGTGAAGGAACATATAACTGATGTGAAGCACCGACGCTCCGGGAAGTCTGCAGTCTGCGAACATGTTCAAGATCGTCCCCACCATTACATTAGATTTGATAAACCACAAATTCTCGCAAAAGAACACCGATTCCTACCAAGGATGATATGCGAGGCTATTGAAATTAAAAAACATCCAAATTTCAATAGAGAAGATGGTTGGGTGCTACCATCTGCTTGGGATCCTATAATGAACAAAATTAAACCCAAACCCAAGCATACCACTGCAAGACTTCATGATACTATAAGCTCGTTTTGCGTAAATCGAACCAAAAATTAATATTAAAAAACTGAAGGTAGCCGGACTAACTATGACATTGGGACGTCAAACATCTCAGTCCCCCCGTGACCATGGGCGCTGTAAAGCACCCGAAACGTCGGGATAATAATAAAAATAAATTAAAGTAATTAAACGCGATAAAATCCGTAAATAATAGTTTTATTCAATGTGTAGTGTTCGCGTAAATTTAAGAAAATCATTATATTTTGCAGATTTTAAATAGTTTTGTGTAATCGCCTCTACAAATAGCTTTAGTTTTTTTTATTAACGAGCAACTTTAAAAATCTAATTTGTAATGCTTGAAGCCTATCAATGTAAGTTTTAAATGTAAGACCATAACTGTCAAGAGCGTATCCCAAAATCGAATCTACCAATGAAAAATATAAGCATTTTAACGTAGCAGAAGGAACTTTAAAGCTTAAGTGATAAAATTTGCATAGGAGTAATCTTAACTTATTACATACATAATGGCTGGACCACGAGAAGTTAGTATCAACTTTAACACCGAGGTAGGTTACACAATCGACTTTTTCAATAGGCTCACATCGACAATTATTTAGACCATTATGGAGGCACTCAAAGTTATGAGTATACATTTGAGGAGACGAGTCAGTAGGACGTAGATAAGGCGACTGAATGATAAGATACTTGGTTTTATCTGA